TGGGTGTCAATATTGCAAGACATTGTTCCATCTGGGGTCCGAAAGGTGAGTTTCACATTGTATTTTTCCGTTAAAAGCTTCTCCGCTGGCCTTCTGCTGTGAATTCATAATGCGATCACAAATGTACTTAAAAAGGAGAAAACTTTTGACCTCACTTGGTGGGTGGAACAATGATTTTGCTTCACAAATGGGGGTTGAATGACAAGTGTAAATGTATTGTTTCTACCAGTGATACAACACACCATCACTTCTTCCGGGATTGGTCCTTTGATCTGTTCCAGTTTCTGCCTCCTTTTAAAAGAACTCCAGTATGTTTCCCCTAAAATCTAGCAATACATTCCTTCTTTAAATCTGAATAACTTTCTTTATTGTTTAGTCGAGTTTCAGTCATCATCACCTGACAGTGCTTACCGTCAAGCTAAACTAAAAAGCTCACGTCTGTTGTGTTGCATTGTTTATGAAACAACAGCTTTGTGTGAGGAGATGTACTGTCACTGTATTTATTCTCTCACACAGAGGGGGTTTATAAGCCCTGCAAAGATGTATTAGTGAGCATGTCTTGTTATGTAGCATTTCACATGCGCCTGACCTCCACGGTCGGCTCACCACCTTTGTCGTCTTCAAAGGTGTACACACTTCCTGTTTTATGTTGGTTTCCTGTTTTTGTTTTTACACAACCTGGACGACAAGCCAAGCGTGTTCATTTCTGTTTGATGTTGATATTGGCCAGATGAGAGGATCATGTCGCCCCATCTTGCTTGGTATACCTCTCATGCCAAAAACAAAAGCTTAATGTTCAATCTGCGGCACAATTGTAATGAAAATAATGAATACGTCTTACTTACTATTTTCTATATCAATATATTTATTTGTGTTAAAAAAAACATTTCCTCTGTGGTTTTGAATCAAACATTGGACCCTACATTGACAGACAGCATTGGTGCATTGTCGTGTGTGTGTGTGTGTGTGTGTGTGTGTGGTGTGTGTGTGTGTGTGTGTGTGTGTGTGTGTGGTGTGTGTGTGTGTGTGTGTGTGTGTGTGTGTGTGTGTGTGTGTGTGGTGTGGTGTGTGTGTGTGTGTGTGTGTGTGTGTGTGTGTTGTGTGTGTGTGTGTCTGTGTGTCTGTGTGTGTCCACAACATATTAGTCTGGCCTTGCTCATAAAGTTGTGAAACTGTTATTATTAGGCCACCTTAAGGTAAGGTACAAACACCATATCAGGCTTTTATTGACAATATCAACAGAGATTACCTTGTCTGATATTTTTGCCGTTTGCTCGGGAGCAACACAGGCCGCCAACAAGGAAGGTTTCATGAAATAATGAAGGACAAATAATGACAAAAACTCACACATCAACTTGAGAAAAAACCTTCCAGTCTGCCATTGTTTACAGAGATTGTGTTGCTCTGCAGCCTCTAAACATTCCTCCTTTTCTTTCTTACATCAATTCAGTTCTTTGTCCACTTTGACAGTTCAGGGTTTTGTTGACAATATCAACAGAGATTAGCTTGTCTAATATTTTGGTATAATCCAGTTTGACATAGTCGGTACGACCTGCTATGGAGGTAAAGTTTGTGAGATAAAAGCAGACTATAAAGAAAGGCTAAATGCCTGCTATCTCTACATATGTTGTTTACTGACAGGAACATCTATTTAGTGTTGGCACATCCAACACATATTATACTAAGAAATCCTTGCAATTTAAGCAGCAGGGATGTATCTCCCTACCTTTAGTGTGCAGACTTATGGAGCCTTTCCACTTTTTGAGCCTCATAAATATTTATTAGTGCAAATTATTGCATTGCAAGTGGTCTTTAAGAGCTCAAGATATAAGTGTATACCTACTTAAATATACAAATAGTGTTTGTATTGTAATGATGGTCTAAGAATGTAGTCATAGTTCTGCGATTGCAACTCAGCTTTTGCTTTTTGACTTCTGATTTATTTTTTATTAAAAAGGCTAGGGGATTTATTTTAGATTTGATACAAACAAAAAAACTGATGGGATGTTGGTTTTAGGGGCGCACATACACGTTTTTATTTAATTATGCTTTTGTATTCCCCTTAGTTAATTATTATGTTTTTTGTTATCTCAAACTAACTGGATGTCAAATAGTTCATCTTTGACAAAATCACAGAATTTAAAAACTATTTTCTGGACAAAAGTCAATACAAAAACAAAACACTGTGTATGTGAGTGTGTGCTTGTATGCGTGTTAGCGTGTGTGTGAGTGTGTGTTGGTGTGCGCGTGAGCATCTGTGTGTTACCCAGTAATACATGCAGGATCGCCTCACTCTAATCAAGCTGATTAAAAATTCCTGCGCGCACAGCCGGAAATCGCACCACCGTTCTTCCTTGCTGTGTGCGTGTATGTGTGTGTGTACGCGCGCGTGTGTGTGTGTGTGTATGTGGTTGCTGTCCCTTTCTCCACTTTTATTTGTCTCCTTCAGGACTTTTTTGGCTTGAGATATGGAGAAATAATCAGATTTTATTAAAATTATTATAAGGGGATTATTTTTCCTTGCACACCACCACACACACTCCTGTTTCTCTCTTTATCCCTCTCTCATGCTCACACGCACGCACACACTCACACACACACACCCCCTGCTATCTTCTATTTTTTTCCCATTTTTTTTTTACCCCCCACCCACCACGCCATTTCAAATGAGGAGGAAGAAAAGGGAAAGCACAAGCAGCACCAGCAGCGAGGAGAGGAGAGGGGGGAGGAGTGATGAGTCAATACAACTAATAATTTAATGGGGACAGAGAGGGAGAGACGGAGTGAGAGGGAGAGAGACAGAGAGGGAGATAGAAAGAAAGAGGAGCTCCGTCCGGACGCCAATCCACAACCAACAGGACACCTCCTACTATTACTATCGCAGGCAGCTCTCTTATGCATCCACAGCAAGCCTTATTTATGCTCGACATCGGAAAGTATATCGCACTTTTTGACCCCCCCCTCTCCTTGTTGTATTTGCGAACCTGTTTTTGACTGTCCGCATATCGTCTCGCCTCCAACGCGGTAGCAAGAACACACTGTCGGTTATTAGTAATATTTTTCTCAGTCAGCCGGTAGTCAAATCTAGCTGAGCGGACGTTGAGCTATTTTTGTGTACGTTTATTCTCATATACACAGAGAAGGGTTTATTGGGTCTCTGCGGCGGGTTTTTATCATTACAACTGTGTCCGAGGTGCTTTGCTTTCCACTGGAGGCTGCTAACTGTACTGTGCCGATTGTAGCGATGTGGATTTTGTGGTGCGACTAAAGCTGAAGTCGCCTTCACTTTGAGCTACAATGTCGCCGTTTCGTTAGCGGTTTCTGTTGCCGTGTTTTTCCTCCAATTGGACGGAATTAGATAATGGACAACACACACACATGACCGCTTACCAATGTTCGCCTATCACGGTCCATCTCGACCTCGTCGTCTCTCACACAGACCAGGGTTGTTGTTTTTTCAGACCGCCTGTCAGTCCTCCGCGAAGAAGAGCAGGAGAAAGCGTCTTTTTAAACACTGAGTATTTTTACAAGCGTTTGCTGTCATGCACACGTAGGGAGAGAGAGGGAGAGATAACGAGACCGGGAAGCAGGAGTTGTTCTTTTTTCTTCTTTTCTACCCTGGCCAAACTTGAAGAAGACGTGTTTCCCAGGCGGTGTTATATGCTTCCGATTGCTGAAGAAGTGCTGCGTTTCAGGTTGGTTTGGAAGATTTTCACTCAACTTGTCTCCTTCCTCCCCTAACTCCTCATTTAGGGCTAATGGTCAATTTCTAACTCCTGTTTTTTGTTGTTTTAAGGTCATTTACAAATCCTGACCTGGATCTGGACTGTATCCCGGGTCTGGGTTCCTTTGGCCCCTTATTGTGGGGCATTAGTGGCCTCATTGCGTGTTATGAATGGGGGAGTTCATGATCTTGTGCGTGGGGGTGGATGATTTTGCCCTTTTCACTCTTTGACAACAGCATTCCAGTTCATGTTCATCAGCACAGTGCGTCAACCTGCATGCATCACCCTTAGTTACTTTTTCCATTCCATTTTTTGTATTCATAAACCCGTGTTTTATGATTGATACATTTCTTAAAGTTTACTCCAGGGAGTTAAAATAATGTGTGAATTGTCAGCTTCAGCCTCAATCAATAACTTTGTGTCTATGCACTAACCTGTGGATAAAGCTGCCAAAGTCGCCCCATCATTTCTTCCTCTCTAAATCTCCCCTGTGTCCTTTCTTTCACTTTTGAGGATTATTTTCACGACTCAGTTCTGTCTATTTATAAGTTTCCAAAAGCTGCCTTCTTTTCCCCCTATTCTAAAGTTGTAAAACGTATCGATTCCCATGAATATTGCTCTGTGCTCGCGAAACTTAAAGTTCAACCTGTAAAGTCATGTACCTGATAGTGTATTAATGTATGTGTGTATCTGTCACTGCAAAATGATGGTGCGGCCCTTTACGCGCCCTTTCCCCTCGGAGCTTGCGTCATGAATGTGAAGCCACACGAAGTGACTCAGAAACCAAATTATGTTAGTTTCACCTCTCTGCGTGCGCCGCAGCAGAACCTTGTTCCTTGAACTGCAATGTATTCATTCAAGTGGAATCTCACAGCAAATTAATGTGTGCGCTAAAACCGGGGCTTGTTTGCCCCTTCTCGCATGGGAATCTCTAGTGGGACAATCATATATAATACATGTGTTGAAAAATGGGAAACATTACAGCAGCACGAAAACGTCACCCATGGCTGAGTCGTCATAACTGAAGTGAATTGGCAGCTATTGCCGTAATGGGTCTGTTCTCAGAGCTTTCAATTACTTAAAGCAATTTTTTGCTCTATAAAAACGTCTCATGACATCTTCACATGTCAGTGACATCAACACAAAATATTTGGTGCTCAATGCTCCCCTCGCAGCACATTACAGTGCTTCTTTATTGCCACACACATATCTCCGCTGACAGCCGAATCTTTCTGTGTGTCTCTCCCCAGGTGATAGTGAGCAGAGGTGCTGAGAATGATGGACCATCTCAGCGAGGTGTGTTTGGGGAAGGAGAACTCCGACCTGATGAACAGCATGGCCGAGGCCAAGGCCCCGCCGGCCAAGCTGCCCCGCTGGAGCAGAACGGCAGCCCCTGGGCCGGGCCCGGCTGGGCAGCACCGGGGCCAAACTAGCTGGGGTCCCGTACAAACCCCACCGGCCACCTGCTGAAGACCTGCCACAAGAGAGGGTAAGAGGGAGACGGGTGTGTGAGAGGGCTATAACTCGCAACGTACATGTAAAGGATGATTTTGTTATTGATTAGTCCATCAAAAGAACATTTATATTTGTATTTAAAAAGGAAAATTGGCAACTATTTTGCTGATTTTAGTAATGTAACGATTTACCTGTAAACTCCCTTCTTTGTTATTGTACTTTTTGGGGTTTTCTAAAGTTTATTGGACAAAGCCATCAATTGATAACTCAGATTTTGGGAAATTTGCAAGGGGCATCACTCACTATTTTTTATAAAGCTGAAACAATTAATTGCTAAAGAAAATTACTTCCAAGTATTTGCCTCTCAAATAGGAATGTGCTACCTTTCATTGGCTTATATGTCAGAGAACTGAATACTTGGAATTCAAACTGTTAGTGCGACAATACAAACAATTGAAATATGTTGCTTTCGGCAGTGGGAAACCGTCATCACCATTTGTTTGCTATTTCTCAGATATTTTATCAACAATTCATTGATTAATTGAGTAGATAATCACCCAAAGTATCTTTAGTTGAAACCCACATTTTTGAGACTAAACAATTTAATAATTTTGAATAATTGTCAGATAATTAATTAAGGAATCACTTGTTAGTTTGTGCAAACTTATTATGAAACAAATAAAGTAAAACTTTGTGTGTGCATTTGGGCATGAGAAGAATAAACCACGTGAATAATGGAAAGCTATTTAAATGAAGTTTAAATAGCCCCCCCTCCCACACACACCACCTTCCACCCACCACCACCCGCTGCATGCTCTCCAAAACTCTTAAACCTTTTTACAATGTGTCTTTAGTCATCTCAGCGCACACATACACTGCACACACTCCCACTTATTTGCCCAGACAATAGCAAATAGAAAAGCACTGTTAGAGTTATTCCTGTGTCGTGCTGCAGAGCGCTGTGTCACCGCTCCTCTCTCCAAACGCAGCCCTCCTGCTCCGACATTTGTTTATTAAGGCCAAGTTTCAGTCCTTTAAGAGCCATTCTTGTTTTAAAGGGAGCCTTTACTATGAGATCATGACATAGCTTTTTAATATAACTTGTTTTTTCTTATGAAAAACACGGCAGGGAAAGCTATCCAAAATACGAACCTTTTTATGATAATGTGTTTGTTTTCTTGTGGGTTGGGAATGAGTTTCAAACCTGCAGGTTCTGAGTTGTAATAGCACTTGGCAGTGCCGGCTCGCCTGTTTGTTTGTTTGGCTGCTTTGGTTTTCTTTGGGCAAGAGGGACTGAGGAACTCTTGGAATGTGGCTGTGTGAGTGTCCTCAGATGGGCCGTTTTTTCTTATTTGCTCCTTTAATCTACGTGTCGCACTCCAGCTGAGAGAGCTTAATTCTTCTCCTTCATCATCTCCGCTTCTCTTGGCCCCCCTACGACGTTTGTTCCTCCAAGCCTCCTCATTGCTCCCCCCTCCCCTCCTCTTGTCCTTTTGCCGAGTTTCTTCCTGGGTAAAGGGTGAAGCAGCCGATGGAGGCAGGCGGGCCGCCGTGGAGGCTTCGCAGAGAGCCCACAGTGGGCATTGTGTCCGAGCCCGAAACAATATTTACAGCAGCCCTCTCCGGGCTCCCTGGAAACAAAGCCAGTATTGATCCCCCAAATGAACCTACACAGCAGTCTTTATTGTTAGATCTTTATCTATTAAAATCAGGGGAGGAGAAAAGCAGCTCTTTCAGCACATTCCCTGGCATCTGTCGGCTTATTGATTGTTTTGCCAGAGCTGTGTGCATCTTCTGGAATGCCTGGGATTGGAAAATATTAGAATGTGAATCATTTTAATCGGCACGAACAATAAATGAACAGATTACAGAAATGTGCTCAGGTGATAGTAGAGTGGAGACATAGTGAGGAAGTAGGGCAACAGGACAATCTTAAAACATGCTGGATGTACAGTCAGCTCTTCATCAACACTTTTCGATTTTATGCTGTTGTTATCATTCAAACTGAGACTTGAAAAGGCCACGTTGTCCCCATACCATTACTCTTCCTAAAACGTCCAGGATGTTATTTTAGGAAAAAGGCATATTAGGTGATATTTGCGTAGTGGGTCCCTTGAACATTCGGCAGTCTTTGGACAAGGATTGCTCATTCCACCTAACAGCAGAGCCACTGTTGACACAGACTAGAAAACCTCAGGACGCAGAGGTGGTATGGGATTCGAAGCACTGCATCATGGGAAAATGATTTTAGGTTGGCAGGGAGAAGGTAATAGTGATCACAGATTGTATAGTGAATAAACAGTTAATTGTGCCAAAAGGAGACATACGAGTTAGAGGATTTTGGTGGCTGCTGTTCACACTAAGCTTAAGGTGACAATGATTTCCAATTTATTTGTATTATATATATAAAGCTAACACAACTCACAGTGCTCTAATTCATTATCCTGGAAGATGACCTCCACACTGCAGGAAGGAATCCTCCAACTGTTGAGGCAATCTGGGAAAAACACAGAAGGAATAATTAAATATAAACAGAGAGTATTTCTAAATAAAACAGATAATAAATTCAGCCTCCGAATTGTGCAGTAAGGAGGGTTTGATTCCCAACGTTGCTGTGAGAGTTTGGCATTGAGACAAAGAGGTTAGAGTTAAGTTTGAAATCGTCCTATAAAAGATGAAAAATGCCTTTTGTGGTCCAAACCCATCCTTTAGTTAATTTCTGTCAAGAACTTCCACTCCGCAGCAATTGAATCACTCACTCATAATCCCTTGACTCTCAGCCTGAGTGTAACTTAATCGACAGCTCTAAATATTAATCTCGTCCCTCGGCAAACACTGAAGGTCAAAGTTTGTGTGTGAAGAAATGTGAACCCTTTTAGTTATAACTTAGTGTCTCTGTCTCCGTGTCCTCAGGCAACATGCTGCCTGTGTTCTGTGTGGTGGAGCACTACGAGAATCCCATGGATTTTGACAGCAAGGAGGAGCATGCCGAGTTCGTCCTGGTGCGTAAGGACATGCTGTTCAACCAGCTCATCGAGATGGCCCTTTTGTCACTGGGCTATTCCCACAGCTCAGCGGCCCAGGCCAAAGGTAACCACTCACTGACTCTGTTTATCTCTTCATTTTCCTCTCTGTTCTGCCACTTTTCTTTTCCCCCTTGCTCTATCTCTCTATGCTTATTAGCGTCTTCTCTACAACATTTTCTGGCATGCTGTTACTCCTGTACACACTCAAACACACATCTTAGTGCCTCAATCACACACACAAACACCCTCTCTGTGACCATAATAGCCTCCCGTCAGCAGTAACACATCCTGACACTGATCCCAGACAGGAGATGCTCAACTCTGGCAAGGGGTCACACACACCACATTCCCACACAGTCTAAATGCAAGGGCTTACACACTCACATGTTTACACGCATCGTGCGTACACGCAAACTCATACTGTATTTATTTGTATACACACACACACACACACTCAGTGACTCAGTGGGTGGGAGGGGCAGGTGGAGGAAAGGGTCTGCTAATTGCACTTGAGCTCACGCAGGCCGAGGGTGGCTGTTCCAAGGTGCCTCTTAGCATGCTCTTTTATTATAGCCTGTCCATCACACACACACACGCACACACACACACACACACACACACACACACACACACACACTCACATCTTAGTGCCTCCTCTTCCATAAGCGTTCTTCCTCTTGTGTGAGCTTTATGACAGTCTCAGGAGAAATTCTGACATCACTGTTAGGATGTCCATAACAAATAAAGTATAAGAAGAGTGTCTATGGCACCAACATGTCTATATTCATATGTTTTACATTATATTTCATACTAGTTATTCTTTAAAGGGATGCAGCCTAATGAGGTCATGCTAAATGACCTTTGTGCTGATCTATTCTCTTCTTCTTTCTTGTTTCCATTCTTGTGCATTTGTGCGTCCAAATATCTGTGTCCATATCCACCAATGTTCATGTGTGTGTGCACATACGTGTTGCATCGTCTAGGTATGATTCAGGTGGGGAAATGGAACCCCGTCCCCCTGTCATACGTGACAGACGCACCGGACGCTACGGTGGCTGACATGCTGCAGGACGTCTACCACGTTGTCACGCTCAAGATCCAGCTCCACAGGTAAGAAACACTACATACTAGAATCCAACACTTGATTGCATACATGTGTACCAATCCAAAATGTGTGTAGGTGTTCATAGAATCTGTTTTACCTGCCTACCACCCACTAAAGTGCACTGTCAAAACCTAAAACACACAGTTTTCTTTAATACACAGAGGAAACGTTTTACCTGTTAGTCTTGCTTCTAACATTCACACACGTAGCTTGTCTTGTATGCCCAGAGGCAGGTGCCAATATGCCGATGCCTTCTGCATCTTTGATACTGAGAATAGATACATTACTCACACACACAAAGAACAGACTGACCTTTCCCAGAAAATGTGAACAACATTTAAACACAGAGAACTTCCTCGCCTTAAGAAACACAAAGATCGGTTTATTTGTAAATGTAACCATTAAGTTATAGGAACACCATTCTAAAAAAATATTCAAGTAGATTCATCTCCTGTAGCAACCCCACATTTAAATGGTTAATTATGGTAACTGATGTCAAAATAATAAAGGCATTTATGCATTGAGGATTGGTAGAATGATGGTAACAGTTTTTGAGCTGAGCACTACTTAAACTCTTTTTTATAATTACATGAATGTGGTGGGCAACTGCAGACCAGCACACGGACTAAAAATGACCCTGCAGTATGAATACACGGTTGTTCACCTGAAATAGTTGCGTAAATAAACCTGGCTGCACCGGCTATTTTAAGTAAACTATATACAGTATTGCTTCTGAACCTACATCACGTATAATAATAAAGAATCTCACACTGAGTTTAGCTAGCCGTTTTGGCGCCATCACTCAACATATTGTATGCTAAATGCTACTCTGTAGGAGTGAAGCTTATATTTATACGCACGGCGAGAGCATACGAGCATTTTTAGAACACGGACGCAAACAGACTCACATGTGCTCATAGGCACAAAGACACTACACACACACAGCCGAGTGGCACTGGTGTGGAGGCTTGTGCCAGCTGCTGTTCCGACTCTTTTCCTACCTCGCTCTGCCTCTTCCCTCCTCTCCCCCCCTCTCCTCCTGTGCCCCCCTATCACCACCCACCTTCACCAGTGAAGCACTCACTCACACACTGACTGATGTGAACACGTCCAACAGCCAGAATACAGAAGGTTGTGTTTATTTCCGGCGTGCTAGCCTTGAATGCATGGATAGCTGTCTGTCTCCACTTCCCCCCTTTTTTTGTGCCTCTCCTTCCTCCCCTCCTCTCGTTCACTACCGTCTCCCCAGAGGCTTTCTAGTTGCTGGAGCAGTTTAAGGTGTTCTGGAAAATCCATTGTTTGTGTGAGTGTGTGTTTTCTTACAAGCAGATGTTAGCCTCGACCATTGCACGCATCCCTTTCTATTCCACTCTCCTGTTATCTCCGTGCTCGTAACGTTTCCAAACTGACAGATTTATGGACACACGCACAGAAGGCTCATGCACTTGTACACTCATCACCCCCCCGCTCAATCTCTCATCTCTTCTTTCACTTGTCAAGTGTCGTAGCGGGTGTTTAACGAAAAGTAATTCAGCGATACATTTAATACAAAACACGTCATACATATGTCTTGTACATGTAAAGTGTTTATCAAAGAGAACTGGGAGTTGAGTTCCACACTTCCACCCCCATGTAAAAATAGTTGTTCTGAGGTAGAGCCCCCTGCGGCACTCAACACTAGCACCAGATAACGTCAAAGCCAATCTCTATGTGATCTATAAATCTATTTTGATTTCACTGCATATTGTTGTCAGTATTGTTATTGTTTTGTATTTGTTTTCCTCATTTTCATCCCCCCCCCCCACAATCCCCTCAACTCCCCCTCCCAAACAACCCCCAACCGCCCCCGACTGCCGCAGAAAATCTAGCCAGTAACACCTTAAATTGTTTCGCCGAGCACAACGAGCCAGGAAGGTAGAAGTAACACGAAATAATAGTCGCCACATGCAGCTGATGTATAATTCATGCATCAATCCAGCAGATGTGTTGTATAAAGTAATTAACTAATCAGAACAATCAGGAGAGAGAGAAAGAGAGAGAGAGGGGGGGGAGAATATGAAAGAGGGAGAGAGAGTGAGGCAGGCAGAGAGGGAGAGAGAGACAGAGCAATCTCCAGATGCATCTGCTTGATGCGCCAAATGAAATCTGTCTGTCTTGGAGGGGCGCTTGCAGCAGGGAAAAAAAGAGCGAGAGCCCGTGTGTTCTGCTCTCTTTCTCTCTGCTTTCCTCTCCCTGTCTCCTCGCTCTGTCTATCTGATTGTTCCAGTGATTTGGCCATTTCATCAATATGTATTTTAAAGGCTTGGACGGTTTTAAAACCCGTTATGGGTAAAATATTTTGTTCCCAAATTGCACGTTGTTAGCACACCACTTCAATAGTGCTGAAACAATGGGCTGAAGATGTGTATGTAAAACTAGATTGCTAATCGATTAATTGTTGGAGTAAGGATTTTTTTTTTTTCTTATTCATTTAATATCTTAGGGGTTTTAACTGCTGGTTGGACACAAATAAGCAATTTTAAGACTTCATTTGGGGCTTTTTTTGTAATGTTTTTCTGATGAGGACAAAACAATGAATCACCATTAAAGAAAGTATATTCAACAAATTAGTCAATAATGAAACTTGTTTGCACTTGATGTTTTATACATTGTTAAATGATGTAATTTTGGTCAGTGTTAGAATCAGGCTGTTACGCGCGATATAGTCAAAAGTGTGTGTTTAAGTCCAATGATGTTGGACCAGGAAGTGTTGCCGGCTGCTGTAAAGGAAGCTGCAGGGTAACTTCCCCTCTCACACACATGCCTCCATAGTGGTTTGGGTCAAATGTATTTCCAGATTTGCAGATTTGTGTTATTACCCGTTTGCTCTACAGATCAGGGGAATGTCCAATCCTTGCAATCGGATTAAATCATTGTGATATCGTGTTTCTGAATTTGTTGCTTGTGTATTTTATTATTTATTCAAGATACCATCAGGCCTGCTGGCTTTCCTTTTCGGTCTTTGTCTCTTCTCCATCTGAATTGTTTCTCATGCTTTCTCCTCACCCCCTCTCCCCCCCCTCTCCCTCTACATCCCTATCTACCCCTTCCCCTCCCTATATTATCCTCCCTGTCCCCCCTCTCCCCTGCATGTCTCTCTCTCTCTCTCTCCACCAGTTGTCCTAAGCTGGAGGACCTGCCGCCTGAGCAATGGAGCCACTCTACAGTAAGAAACGCCCTCAAGGAGTTACTCAAAGACATGAATCAGAGCTCTCTGGCTAAAGAATGTCCCTTATCACAGGTGCTGAAGCCCAGTCTGCTTATTTAAAAAAATAAATAAAAAGATTAACGCCCAACCCCAGCCCCCTTGCTACCATACTGCACAACAAAACACACACCCCCTATCTCCATCACCACTACATGTTATCCTTTACTTCTATCAAATGCCCTGAGTTTGATCAAGTGGGAAAAGAGAATCGGCATAGAAAATCCAAATCAATGGCGATTGTCATTTGTTTGCCGCATGATTTCTTTTTTTTTGTTTCTTCTACCGCCCCCAACACACACTTGTATGCAACGGCAGCCAAAAAGCAGAGGTGTTGTTGAACGTATGGTTATTGTTCGATAAACATTGGCCCAAACTCAGATCGTTCTGGATGGCTTTTGTTCTTTTTCTCATTTAGTTAATTATCAACATTTTAGGCTGGATATACGGAATGTGCGCTCACATGTCAGGTGTTATATTCTGTGTTTTTTTGTCGGCTGGGAGGCTGGATGGAAAGCACTAGCGCAGATATTGTATTAACAGGCAGTGTAGCCAGTATATCATAGAGGCAGCTCTGGAGTGAATGGAATGAAACGGCAGTATATCTCTCACAAGGGCCAATAATGTGTGTGTGTCTGTGTGTGTGTTAAAGTGTGAGAATATATTTGTGCGTCCCTGTGTGTTTGTTTGAGTTTGTTTGTGTAACGTATATCTATGTACGGTGCTCGTATGTTAAAATGTTCTTTGTGTATTTAGATCCAAGCGTGTGCGTAGGTGCCTTCAGTGTGAAGCCAGCTCTCCTCCCAGGCCACCGTATGGTCACCTGGAGACCCTCATTTGCGCTGTGTGTGTGTGTGTGTGTGTGTGTGTGTGTGTGTGTGTACGTGTCTGTGTATGTGCGAGCGGCTGCTCTCAGTGTGTGTGTTTGTGTGTTTAGCCGGGCATGAGCAGTGCGCTGATGATGTAAAGAGTCCCTGGGTGGCGTTCAGGCGGAGCCCAGCCCGGTCTGGTAATCACCCTGTTTACGGTCCATATGTGAAGACGGCTCAGAAGAGAGCACACGCTAGCTCAGAGGATCTAACACACAGACACACACACTCTTCCTCAGACACACATTTGCTATTTTCAAATACGCACTAGTCTCAAATTAAACTGAAGATTGTTTTAGCTTTCCAGTGAGGATGAAAGAAGGGGCTGAAAATATCTTGAAGGGAATCTGTTTCTTTTTGTCTTGTATGTTTTTCAACAGCCAATTTGGTCTTAATTCAGATGTAAATGGCATGAACTGGTATGACATTTACTGTCAAGGGGAAATGATTGCCAGCCATAGATTATTGGTAGCTTCAGTCACTGCAAATACTCTGATGTATTCTCATTGCTGTGTATCCTTGCAAGTAAATTATAAAAACGTAGGAATGGTTAACTGCATATTTAACAAGATATATTATAGTAAAACACTCACTTAAGAGTGCAGATATCTCATCAATACATATTTATTGTTCTTCAGCAAAATCTAAACCTTTATCGCCACGGCTGTTTTTAGGGCAACACATTTAAAACCAGTTTTTAATATGTTAATATGATTGAAAGGAAACTGGCTGCTTTGCTATGTAGTGACTCCTTGCTCTAATGATGTACATGGATCTGCTTTGTTCAAACATGGCTGCCATGATGGCATTTGACATCTGCTACTCTGCGGGGTTGCATTTGGCCTGCGTCACCCATAGAGCGGTGGTTTGTTCCTCCTTAACCCAATCAGTTTAGAGGACTGGTTGTTGCGGTTGAGGGACATCCCGGCGTTGCCTTGACAGGGACTCCCTGCTCTGTGACCAGTGTTGTCACCATGCAGTCTGATGAGAAGGTGAGCCTTTGGCCTCTCCTCGGAGTTTACCAAAGACAGTTAAATGCGTGGGAGGAGAAAGGGGCGTTGCAGGAGCGAACAGAAATTGACACCTTTTTAGGATTAGTGTTTCCTCGATATTCTGCTGTGTAATCCCGGGCCAAAAAGAGAGGTTAACAGATGAGAGAATCACAGCAAGCGAGTGAAAGAGAATTAGTCCACCTCTGAACAGAGCTCTGAAGAGAGAGGGGGAGGAGGGGAAGTAGAGCATGGAGGGGAGGGCGGTGGGGGGTTATTTTGTGAAATGCTGCTTTTGTCCAGGTCTTGTCAAACATTTAGTTTGATTCTTTTGTAGAGGGGAGGCATGCTTTGTGTGTTTGGGCTACAAATGGCACAAGGAAACTCTGAAAGAGAAATTGTATTCACTCGTGCTCGTGTCATTTCCCTAGAGGAACTGACTTTGACCTTCACACATTTGAAGCCATCGTAAAGATTCACAGCTTGGAGAGGCATTGCCTAGACCAAACTTCTCCTGATTCTTCCCGGAATCAGGCCTATTATTTTTCTCTGAGGTTGCTACCAAGCTTAGCAAACCCCCTTGCTCATGTTCGCAGAAACTATGGCAACAAACGAGAACCCCCCCCCACCTCACCCCAGTGTTTCCCATTGCTACCACCTCTTCTTGCCCACCCCCTGCTCACTCTCACTGGGCGGCCCCTGGTGCACCAGCTGCTGCGTTGCGTAGCAGCAAATAGTCATCAAAATGCCATCTTTGCAGGCCTTCTACACCTCAGCAGCCATAGGCGGAACCTGGTTGCCAGTATATGTGGGTGAATGTGTGTGTATATAGATGTACATGTGTGTGTTAGTCTGAAGAGAGGGGGGGGGTCATCTCAGTTGAGGTGGATATGTGCCATAATTGAGCTGTGTTAGATGTTGGCGAGAGACAAGGCAGAGTGTTGCAAATGGGATGCACGTTTCCCCCAGCTGATTCAAGACATCAGGCTAAGTTGGAACGTGTGTGTGTGTGTGTGTGTGTGTGTGTGTGTGTGTGTGTGTGTGTGTGTGTGTGTGTGTTTGTGTAAATGCACCATGTGTGTTTGTCTGCAGGGGTTGTACTTGGTGTGTGTTTGCATTTGCCAGTGTGTGCACCACACTCTAAAGCTGGCAGCTGGGTGCCTACAGTACCTGCCTGCTGCACTGCTATTTTCTTACACACTCTCACACACACACACTCTCACACACACACACTCTCTCTCACACACACACACACACACACACACAACACACACACACACCACACACACACACACACACACACACACACACACACAACACACACACACTCACACTCACACTCTCTCTCACTCTCTCCCCCTTGCTCTCTCTTCCTGTCTCCCATGATGGGGAGTGGAGTAGATGTTGGGGACCGATAGTAGCCCAGTGCCACTTCCTGGTCTTGCTGATAAGCTCTCTGCGCTGCAGATGGCTATCACTTAAAGGGTCCACACACATGCTCATGCACACGCACATACACACACCACACACACACACACACACACACACACACACACACACACACAACACACACACACACACACACACACACACACACACACCACACACAAAGCCATGCTACCTGTTGACAAGCCCTAGCAGAGCCCTCCTGCTGGCACCGCAGTGGCAGCAGAGGCTCTGGTTATCTGCTTGATTTCACTTAGTGCGTATGCATGTGTGTGTGACAGAGCTGTGGGAAGAGCGATAGAGAGAAAAGGTGTGTGTGTCTGTGTGTATTGTTTGGTTCACACATACACACTGGGCCCCCTGTGAGAGGTAGAGTGATGTATTGAGGGAGAGGGCTGATTAATGAGGAGCGTTTTTGAACATCTGTGTCAAAGATGGCGGAGAAAAAGGGGAGCAAGAGAGATAGAGAGAAAGATGGGAAGAGAGAGAAAGAGCACAAACCGTCTTCTGCAGGTCTCTTGTTTGTTGCCTGGAGCCGCCTTAGCCCAGATATACTGTAAATAAAACATGGCATGCTGGGGGAAAGGAGTTAAATTATCTCTCCTACTTGAAGGAAATCCCTTCTTACTTAAAATAAATGTTTTTTTGATGGACCTTTGGTTTGGGAGTTGGCTACCGTAGCCATGTTAAAACTGGAATGTGCGGTTTTGGTGCTTTAACCAGTCCTCGTCCCAATGTCTCTTTCCAAGGCAGTAAAATCAAGAACAAAACTATTCATTCTGATAAAAACTGGCTTATGCTTATCATAATGAATAAACAGAAGTTATCTTTTTAAGACCAGAGACGATTCCCTGATGCCAATATTGCTTAAAAAATAAGGAGCTGCCTCATGCATAAATGTATGACCCATTTAAAGGGCAATTCTGACATCCTCACCCTAACCTGAACTCTATCAGGGCTTTTATTGAATGAGGGCTTTTCAGTAGATCTATTAAAGCCTGCCTTGTTATACCGTGTAAGTCTAAATGCAGACTTGTCCCTCCTTTTTTTGATCATGATGCACCAGAGCATGGTTTGCACATATATATACATGGCTGCGGTGCTACCACATTTGACTACCTGGTACAAGCAGGTATGATTAGTATAGTATTATCGTATTGTCATACTGATATTCGGTACACACTGTGAAGACCACTGAGACAAATGTAACATTTGTGATATTGGGCTATATAAATAAACATTGATTGATTGATAGTCCTTTGTGACTTTGGTTCAAATGTGAAAAGCGATACCTGACAATGTAACTGCCTTTGGTTCTCTTTGTAACATTCTAAGAGGTGGCAAAAAATTGTCTTTAAAAACGCTTGCTTATAGAAACTCTTGTGTGGAGTTTTTGGACTCTAAGGTCCATCCTCTTACCGTTTGAAGGACAGGGCATCATATGACGCTGGCTAAAACGTTGCTGAAAGCTGTCTTGCTTTTGTTTAACCTCGAGCAGATCCTTGCTAGCTACGGTTGGACAAAAGAAACGTGTGTCCATCTTGATCCTGTTGGAGCTTTGCTCAGATTTGTGCTAACTAAGTTTTTGGTGTGTTAGACTCTGGTTTGTTTTCATCGCATTAGTTGCATAGAGCTTTAATAGAGAGGTCGGGGGGTTCATTGTTGGAGTGACCTTTCTGACAGCACAGCTGCCATCCTTTACCCTCTTTTTGTGCACCAAAGCTGGAGAACCAGAATCATCCTCTACCCGTTCATTGTGCTCGTACCTCCACGCTGTTCTGCCAGAAGGTTCCCCCGCCACACCTCCAGCGCATATATTATAGAAATTATAAAGATGGCATACCTGTAATTTGAAAACAGATTGGTTTGGTTCTTTTGAATATTTATAACTATCAAAAACAATTTCTCCTGCACCAACCTCGCTATTCGCCCGGAGGCTGGCAAGGTGTTAAAACATTCATTTAATGAAACTGGAAGGAGAAAAATATATATATCGCGTCTTTGTTTTTCTGAGGCATAAAGAGGATGGTTGAAGTTAATGTAGAGAGGGCAAAGAAGATATTGTAAAGGGGGAGATGGGAGCACAAATGCGTCGCAGAACGACATCCTCAGTGCAGGCCTGGATATGCTTGAAGTGGTTGTCTTTAACAGATTGTATAAATAAAGAGCTGGGAAATAAAAGCGGTTTATCTGTTTACATCGCCTGACTCCCCAGATGCTGATATTCAATAAGCCGCTATCTTCTTTCTTTTGAAGGTAAATATATTTCATGCCGTCTTCTCTTGATGTCAACAGACTCAGTTGACCTTTAAATTACCCACTCTGAAAAATCAGACAAACTCACAGCATTTGATACAGATGAATAGATAAAACCTTGCTTGATTCTTTTTTATTTACATTTAGAAGAAAAGACCCAACATTTCTGCATGTCCAATGGCTTATTTTAATGCTGGGTTTTCCCTATCTTTTATTTGTTTTGACAAGCTACAGTGTCACTGCATGTTTCACAAGCTTTAATATTATGTCTGTATTTTTCTAAAATGAGAATCTAAAGTCTCTCTCTCGTTCTCTCTCTCTCTCAATCAATCTCTCTCTTTCAGAGTATGATTTCCTCCATTGTGAACAGCACTTACTATGCAAATGTGTCGGCGGCGAAGTGTCAGGAATTTGGGCGCTGGTATAAACATTTCAAGAAGACAAAAGATATGATGGGTAAGCAAAACGGAGGCGCGCAAAGTATGGCGCTCACACTTTTGTCTCTTTGCACACACACAATCACACACGTACACACACCAGTCATCATTACAATATGTTCTCTAACCAACTGCCTCTTTGTCTTCCTGCTGTTGCATGGAGCAGAAATACATTTTTATCTTGTTATCTAATAATTCAAGATAACTCCGCTCTGTTCTGCAGTGTTATCTTTGGTTTATCCATTATTGCTTTAATGAACTCTAATGCAAGAGTCAGATTGAGGCCTCTGACTGTTTTTGTTTGTTTGTGAGCGAGTATAACGCTTTACTATTCCACAAACAAAAGGCAGCAATGACTTCAACCGGCCACCGCCTAGTCTGAAATTCAATTAGATCTTCTTATCAACCCTCTAACAACGCATGCTTTATATTATCACCAAAAAATCCCCCTTGACCCGCCAGGAAATGAGGTTATGTGATACTAGTACCACCCCAGCTGGAATTCTGATATATTTGTATGTCTTTTGATTTAGCAGAACACCACTCTGTTGCGAGCCTCACAAGGCAGTGTAATGTTAAGATATTAGCTTTAACAATCTGTTGAACAATCTTGTTTTGCTTTGCCAGTGCGCTACTGCTTGCACTGATGACAGATGAGATATTATATCAAAATGTTTTCACTGCGTCCATGCAAATAGCATGTTGTGATCATATCTTATCTGATGTTTTTTTCTTCTGTTAAAGTGGCAACATATGCTGAGAACATTATTCACTTCAGACCTGCTGTATTCTCTTGCATACTCCTACACATTTTCTGTCACAATTGTTTTCTATCTTGTTATATTTTCCTCAAAAACGGGGCTGCTGCAGCTGCTTGTATGGCTTCAGGGATGCTGGTGTTTTAAATGTCATACTAGTGCTTAGCTGGAATGGGAGAGAAGTACTGGAGAAAGTCCTAACCCTGTTTTTCTCCCTCACTTCTCTCTCTCTCTCTCTGTGTGTGTGTGTGTGTGTGTGTGTGTGTGTGTGTGTGTGTGTGTGTGTGTGTGTGTGTGTGTGTGTGTGTGTGTGTGTGTGTGTGTGTGTGTGTGTGTGTGTGTGTGTGTGTGTGTGTGTGTGTGTGTGTGTGTGTGTGTGCATGTGCGTGTCCTTCCATCCGGCTGTGCAGGCATGCGCCAACCCTCCCAGCTGGAGGGCTACCTGGGGACGTGTGTCCTCCGTGAGAGCCCGCGTGCCAATGCATTAGGTATGTCGCAACATGGGCACACACACTAACACACTTCCCTTTTAAGGACATTACATTGACATAAATGAATTCCTTGAAGATAACCTTAACCATGACTTCTGAATGCTTAGCCTAAATGCTACTGTAGCTTTAACCTGACATCAAGTCTAACATAGATGAAAAACAAACCAATGTAGACCAAGTCGCCATAAAATGAGAATACATTTTGATAGATTTGGGGCAAAGATAGATACACTGGCTCACATGCATATGGACACACACACACACACACACACACACACACACACACACACACACACACACACACACACACACACACACACACACACACACACACACACACACACACTGATTTGTCTAACTTGTGACAAGCCACATTCCTCTTTTAATACCCACCATTACTGCCTGTCTTGCCCAAACCAAATCATTATTAAAATCTTAATCTTAATCCAAAAACCAAATAGCACTTAAAGTCACATTAAAGTGACTGAAGCTTATTTACTTTGTGGCTTAAACTCTTTATCGAATTTTCATTTTCTCATCTGATCCTACCTTTGTTTTAAATGACACCAAAATCATGGTCACGCAAACGTCATAAAGTCCCTTTATATGGACTATGTTGAATACTGTTTTTTAATTATTCTAATATTACTTTTATGAAGCATAAGAACTTCTTCGGGTCACTCTCTTATGGAACATAGATTCCTGATAAGAACAAAACCACCAATGGTTTTGTTCACAGAAGCAACGATAAAGCAGCGATAACATCTCAAGATGTGCCTCCACACATTCACAGAAACTCCAGCGCCCATGTGCCATGTTAGCCAGACCTCAGACACAAACCCTTGGCACACGAGCCTCAGGTGCCCCTCATACCCCGCGGCAACTCCCCCATCCTCAATATTCATGACGGGCTGTCTGCTGTACGTGGCTACAAATGGCAGGAAGAGAAAACCTGGTGAGAAGCCAAGGTTGATGCTGGAAGAGTGGCACGGTCATCCCTTTGTGCTTTGGCAGTGGCGTCAAATGTGACTCTGCATTTACTTCACCGCTTTGCATTTAGCAAGCAGTTTTGAGTCCGAAGTCAAGGGGAAGAAGTACCTGGTCACAGGTACTGGCAAGCTGCTGCTCTGCGGCTGAAGTGGTGTTACCGGCCGCCAGCAAACACCGTCCCTCTTCTTTTGAGGTGGCAACGCTAGTGCAGGGAAGCCAACACAGGAGAGAAAGTTGGGTCACTTTGTATGTCTCTCTTTCTCATTCCCTCTCCTACTCACACACACGCACTCCCTCCCTCCCTCAGCCCACATCCCATTTCCATTGTGTGTTTAATCCGGGGCTCTTTTGTGGCAGGATTCCACACGAGGACTCCCGCTTCTGTGGCAGCCTTTTTCTCCCAGGGCCTGCCATGCTCTTCTGTCACCCCTTCTCTTTTCAATTTGCATGGAAATGCCTCCGTGTGCCTGTGTGTTTGTGTGTTGTGAGCATGCCCCCCAGCAGTCTGTGCGAGCGAGCATATGCACACACACATTCACATATGAGTGAATAGACACGCCATACCATCAGAGCCAGGGAATGCCAGGGATTATAGGAAGAGATGTGATTATTACCAAGATTTTTTTTTGTTTTGTTTCTTCCCCCCACATCATTTGTTTTCGACAAACGCTCAATAGACCCGTCTTGGCCGGGTGTTTTGTGCTTGCTGACAGTTAAGAAACAGGCAGCTCAAATACATGATTATTGTGGGTATTTTTGGAAAACATCCATGCACTTAATCTTTCATCTGCTAAAAGATTCAGCTTGTTGAAGACTCTCCCCCCCCTTTTCCCCATAACAGCAATTTACGCTTTTTACAATCTCATACGATGCTTTTTCTGTGGGATGTGGAGGCACACTTCTAAGGTGTTAATGTTGCCATCCGTATGAATTCTTAAACGCTGCCCCCTCACTCAGTCAGTTGCACGCAAGAAGCCTCGGCATATGTGAATTACTTAAAGAGAGGCGGAAACCTCAAAACATTCAGCTGCTCCAAATGCTCATTCACTTCGCTGTGGGTAGTACTTTGAATGTTAAATCATTGTTTTCATCCTCTAAGCACATCATTTAAACCTTTCTTAAAATATTCCCGAGCAGCCATTATGGACTTAAAGATTCCCAAAGCAAGAGATGCCACAAAAATCTCCAAAACGCCATTAAATGACGGCACATAGATTTTTTTGTATTGTTTGTTCTCCACTCAGACAAGGTTACAGACTGTATTCTCCGATGCATTCCTTCTGTCTCCGTTCACTGCATTTATGTTTAGACAGTCCTCCACTAAACATGTCATATTGGCTAGCTTGTGTTACTTATTTTAGAATTAATGATGTAAAGAGAGAATCAGATTTATCAGTACTGCTTCTGCCTCTGCCACACACTCTCTTATACGCACAAACACACACATACATGTTTTCCTTAATTAATCCTACACACACTCCACTGTCTCTCCAAGATTTATTTTTCACATGATGAGGCCACAGACGTTGTGAACTTAATTTCGAAGGCATGTGGAAAGACACAGGTCAAACACAAGCACACACAGCTCCTTTATCTGCGTTAAAACATGTTTTGTAACCAGTCGTTGGCTGATTAGCTCTGTCATATCCCAGGGAGTAAGAGGCCTCTGAAGGCCACTTACTAGGGAAAATACAGTAAACCCCTGTTTATTGTGGTTTTGGTTTCTAGACATGAAAATGTGCTGATTGCAAAAATATTTTCCTTTCCATATCTCATGAATGGAAATGGAAATGTTTTCTGACAGGATAAGATTCAATTGAGGTTAAGTTGGATCTCAGTCAGAGCACATCTGTTTAATTTCTTCTGATTAGAGACTATGATGACATTACATGTATCCCAGTTTTGAGATTAACGTTACACTTCCACAGCACAAACAGGGCCTCTTCTACATTTTCACTCATGTGTTTTCTTTTTGGTGTTCCACCTTTTTACTTATCTCTGTCTCTTCTGCCCTCCACTTTCTGCCCGTTCTCCTCCACTCTCCTCCAGCAGAGATGGATGGCCTGTCCGACCTCTCTCCACCCGGCTCCAATCACAGCCACAACCACAACCACAACCACCTGGGCTTCTCCCAGCAGCAGCAGCAGCAGCAGCAGCAGCAGCAGCAGCAACAGCAGCAGCAGCAGCAACAGCAGCAGCAGCAGCAGCAGCAGCAGCCTATCCCCGGCAGCACAGCAGAGCAGACGCCATCTTCGCCGGTGCCTCAGATGCAACACGCCCCCCCGCCACACAGTGGGCAGAACGGCGGCCGACAGCCCCAGCTCCCCGGTATGCACCACCCGGGCCTGGTGTCCACGCCCATCAGCCCCCAGCTGGTCAACCAGCAGCTTGTGATGGCACAGATCCTCAACCAGCAGTATGCAGTGAACCGGCTGTTGGCGCAGCAGTCCCTCTCGCAGCAGTACCTTAACCACCCTCCTGTCAACCGCAACTCCCACAACAAGCCCATGGAGCCACAGGTGACATCAAACACAGAGGTGTCCATGGACGTTTACCAGTGGGTGAGGGACGAGCTGAAGCGGGCCGGCATCTCACAGGCCGTCTTCGCCCGCGTGGCCTTCAACAGAACCCAGGTGAGGAGGGGACACAGATGGGCTACAGAACAGGGACTTTGCCAACTTTAAAACAACAATTATTATTATTACTAAAGTTAATGGCAAAGGTAAAAGTTGCTCCAACGCCTATTTCTCCTTTCTGCTGTAATATTGGTAATTATAATAATAATAATCTAGATTATTAGAACAGTTTTTATAAACGTAATATCATCAAATTCATAAAAAAGGTGCTATGTGACACATTGCATCCAGTATTTGCTATAGTAACTGATGATTTAATAAAACAAAAAAAATTGAAATTGTATTTTTATTTAATTGTATGCCCCAGTCTGTCAGTTTAACCTGTTAAGCCCGAAGGTCCTCACCGGCGGGTACTTTAGTTTTCAAAAACACATTTTGATTTTTTTTAAACATCCTGTCCACTAAGGTCACAGGGTGAAACTGAAAACTGCATCAAAAGATATCATCTAAAAATGTTTGCACCTTTCCGCTTTTGAAATCCAATTGCACAAAATCACTTAGTGTTTTCCTCACTGTCTTAAAAAACACCTTTTTTCAAAGGAAAAACATTACCTTAAAAATGTCAAGGGACCTTTTTATGTAAAAATACTAGGTAAAGACCGGTCTTAAAATGTGTTTATTTCCACAGTTTATATCTAACTTCTCACTCAGTAATGTAGCACCTCTACTGAACTTCAAGACAACTGGCAGCCAGCCATGTGAAAGACCCGGCCTCGGTCATGGCGTGCGTCATCTCCCTGCCAAAATATGTGGTTTCAGTTCATAGTCAGAAGCCTTACTCACATCCCCAAACACTCACACACACACTCAGAAGGCAACGATAATGTCTTAAGACATCCCGTCGGTATTAGATGGGGGGAAGAGAGAGGTGACAGCAAACCTCATTACAACACAAACAAAACGCTTTGAAGTCGTTGTGTCGGAAAAATAAACTGATTAGGATTAGGATCTATTAGAATTGGAACCTACAGCAACCCCAAAAATAAATGTGTGTGTGTGTGTTAAATGTCTTAGTCAGACAGTGGTGTTTTTGTGCACGCTCCCACACAAACAGTCTTATCTGTGGCTGATATGAGGAATTAGCCCGTTGCCGTTGGAGAGTTTGCCTTTGGAGGATTGTTTATTAGGCGTGTGTTTTTTTTCCACAAGTCTGTGTTAATAAAAGAAGAGGGGGGGGGGGGGTCGAGTAGTGACACAGAGGGGCTGCTGTCGATGCAGGAGGTGGAGGCGTCCCTGTTTCAGGGAGGAAACTGATTGACCAAAGAGATAGAGAAAAAGAGTTGATGGCGAATAACGATAAGCAGGCACACCTTGAAGAAGGCAGAAAACAAACATAAATTAGTTATGACACTAATCTCTGCCCTGAATACTTGTGTACATTAAGTGCTCAGTCCCTTTCGTCATAAAACCATCACTCACTGAGTCTGATTTCATTTTAGTATCTGTTCATACTTGTCTGGATGCCACAGACCTACCTTTTGGAACATGACACATGTACGTATACATTTTAATAGCCAGACAAACAACACCGCATTTGCTACTCTCCCAAAAAAGAAGTGAGAGATGAGGACTCGCATTCTCTCAGAAAAAAAAGAATAAAAGCATAATGATCATGTTTTCCCCATCACCTTGTTTTATTACCAAATCACACCTATTGATGGTGAGAGGAGCAGAGCGATGGTTTGCACAGTGTGTGGCCAAGAGCTGATGAAAAGGCCCAATCACACGTCTCTGATAATGGAGTCATCCCCGCCTCATAATGATGGAATTGAGCGCTATTGAAAAGTAAATAGAGGATACACTGATTGCCCGCCGCTCAAGAATTTCACATTTCAGGCGAGTCGCTGCGGCTCTTATCTAGAGAAACATACGGCTCTAAGAATATGTCCAAGATCTGCAGAATGACACGCAACAATGTGTTATAGGTTCAAAGGCCACACAGAAGTTTCGTCATCCAAGAAAGAGCATCGATTATGTGCTTCAAAACCAGAATTATTATCAAGACAAAAAAGGATTTGCAGGAGTATGAGTTTACTTTGACAACGTGATTTTACAACAATTATGGAAGGTAAAGAAAACTCCCTCTTTAAAGAAAACACATTCGGAGGAAAGTGGACACTGTCGTAATCAAAGGAAAATGAAATTGATACAAAGGGAAAGCGTGTGACCCCACCTGCCTCTACAGAAACACTGTATTCACACCTAAGTCTTAACTCTTACAATTCCTCTAATGTTATTTGACACCCAACTGTTTTCCATATGCTTGATTTTTTCTGTTCTTCATTTTTTTACTCTTATCTCAAACCTCCATTTTTTCTTACTCTATTTGTTTTCTCCCACCCCATCGTGCAGGGCTTGCTGTCTGAGATTCTACGCAAAGAGGAAGATCCTAAAACAGCGTCCCAGTCCCTGCTGGTCAACCTGCGCGCCATGCAGAACTTCCTGCAGCTGCCTGAGGTGGAGCGAGATCGCATCTATCAGGATGAGAGGGAGCGCAGCCTCACCGCCGCCTCAGCGATGGGCGCCCCCCCACTCATCAGCACCCCACCCATCAGACCTTTACAGGTACCAGAGACTTTTTTATCACATATTTTCTTCTGGTGCACTTCTTTAGCTCATAGAGAACATGTCATTATCTTGAATGTCATTCAGGGAGTCCTAATAAGTAGTTGCCGTTTTAAAAATATTTCTGAGAGGCAGAACTGCTCCTTTGACGTACAAACATTTAACAAATTGGAATAAACCTTTAGAAATAAATCATAAGACTCTAGAAATAGAGCTCAAGGCAGATTTCTACACCATCAAAGTTTAATGTTGTTGCTAGTGTAGTGCCTAAAGCATATCATCTGATTTATAGTTTGACCAATCGTTGAAGCACCATAGCAACACAAGATGAATGTGGCATGGATAATAACTCAGCGCTATGCATCTATTTTGAATGAAGTAATATTAACATTCTTTAATTAAATATTCTAAAATAAAAGAACACCTGGGTTTGTTTTTTCTTAGTCGTTAAAAATATTTGTTATATTATTAAAAAAGGAACATCATGGCCATTTGTTGACATGAGCAACAGTGGTGGAAACGTGGTGAAAATCGATATTGCTGCTAAAGAAAGTCACATCCACGTCTGGGAAACAAAATCCTCGAATGCACAACCTTGTTACCAAAGTAGGCCATCGCACAGCATTGGAGTTGGCCAGCTACACAACTTGCACAATGACAATTGTTGTTGTTGGCTCCGCCCATTGAGAGCTTTTTTTCACTTCAAAGTGCTCTGATTCAGAGAGATAATTGTATGACTAACTAGGCTTTCTGCACCGAGACAGAATATTGTGAAATAAAAAGAGGTTCCAATGCCTTAAGGGTAGAAACATTTTCAAACTTTATATTGGAAGTTATTCAGAAAGCATGCAACAAAAAGAGAGGTGACAAAGGCTGCATTTATTCACCATGTAAAAAAAAAATGAATGCGAGTAGATAAAGGAATGTCAACTGTTTGGCTAGACGGATTTAGATACTATTACATGTGTACTGTACATGCAGTCAGGGTTGAGAACAGGTATGCAGGTATGAGAGCAGATTAGATTTGTTTTAGAAGCTGATATTTACTCTCTGTCTTTGGTGTCATGGACTTAATCAAGACACGCATATCAAACATCCTGCCAGGTTTCATAGGCAATACAACAAGTTAAAAAAATGAATTCCTTAATGTACAAACAGACACACTCATCCAGTACGCTCTGTTTTTATGCGACAACAGCGAGTACGGATACAAGCACCAACCTAGCATATTGTTCCCTTACACACCTCACATTCCTCTCCATTGTATCAGGCGACGACTACCTGTCTGGAAACACTTAAAATAAAAGCCCAATCTTTCTGTCATCGTGCACACCAGAGATCATGCTTTACATTCTCCCTGCATGCAAATGAGTCCTACGTCCCACCCGCCCTCACCACACAGGTGAGGACGGTGCATGGATGATGGATACTTTTTGTGCTAATTTTGACCTTTTAGCATGCATTAGGCAGCATTAACAGCCCTCCCATACAAAAAAATAAAGCTCACTCAGTGATGACAAGCTCCTTGAAAGATCAGACATCGTTTAGCGAGCCCCTGTTTCAAAATCACCGCAAATCAGTGTCCCTCATTTGAAAGGTATGTGGCAACTTTCTACCACTTAAGCCTATTTGAAGTGCGGTCAGCTGCATTTGGGAGGTGAGAGTGCCAGACAAAGGCCTCCTCTGTCCTGTCCCCGGTGAAGATTGGGCTTTTATTTAGGTGAGGAGGAAAGAAAGATCTGATCTTTCAAATGGAGCCTCTCCTCTGAAACTACTCAGCATGATACCACTTGCTGTCTTTGCAAAACTAAAGAGAAAGAGTCACATTCTCAAGCAGCGGTGCTGAACTTCGTGCTGAACTTCAGGCAGCTTTGTAGTTAACAGCTCATCTTTCCAATCAGAGGCTGTGTCAGCGCAGGAGAGAGACTCAGAGTTAGAGGGGGAGAATGTTTTGTTCTGCTTAATAACCCACTGTTCATGTTATATTACCATCCCTGATGCGGTGATAGGGATTTGAGTTTTTTTATTTCTATTAGTCAAAGCAGGTAAAATAAAGATATTTCATCCATGTTCTTACAGAATGAATGTGCAGAGGGCCTTTAAACATGTCTAGGATCTGCTTACAGAGCTCTAAAGATACCTATTGCAGAAAGAGATCTGCAATGCCAACTGCATGGCACACAAACTTTGTCAAACAGGACCCAAAACTCAAAGTTTGTGTTTGTATTCTCACATCACTCAAATGACTGCTGGCACGTCGATAGAATATCTTGAAATCTATTATACTTCACCTGTATGACTTAAAGCCATCAACATTTATCAAGTAGACCTGTTCCTACACTAGGCAATTCTCACACGCACATCCACAAACACACCACCTCACACACTCATTCACCTGGCCATCTGCCAGCCTCTCCTACGGAGCAATGCGGTGTGAATTTAAGCACATAAATCAGCCAGGGTGGCAATTGAGCCAGAGACAGAGGAGGGTTTTTATTGGCATCATAAAAACAGATGCAGAGGTATGTTTTTCTCACGTATGCTGATGGGTCGACTCGACTCCCCCAAAGCCAGTTAGTGCACGTCCCAGCCTTAACAATTAGCCTGACATGGTAACCTACCGCTCAGACTCACAAGCCCATGTCGAGCTGTCGTAAAATGGGATGAAAGGCCCAGAAACTCTCCGACATTCCAGTTTCACCACAAATGTTAGGATTATGTGATTGTCTTCAACACATAAAGGAGATCATATTAGGTGTCTAGACACATTTTGGAATATATATGTTTTGTTGTTATATCACAGACTGGGTCCTAAGTTAGGAGATGTTGGTGTTATTATGGTTTCTCTGAAGGCTGCGTACTTGTACTCAAACCCTGCCGATGTCTCTTTCAAAAGGGCTCGTGTGCAATGATTCATATGCTAATGGGTCATGGGTAATGCTTTTATTAGGATACTTGTTATCTTGTCAAAGGATTTTTGTCAAGATGCAACAAGCCGCTGAATGAAGATGATTTCACTTGACTTGCATTTATTTTTTTAATCACTAGCTTGACATCAGAAGAATAACATTTCTCACAACACATCAGAGTGTTTTTGAGCGAAGTAACACTGGAGCAATGCGTGGGTGTAATCTACACTGCTGTGTGTGTGTGAGAAATGGTTGCATGTATGAGTGTGTGTGAATGCTTGTGTTAAGCCAGATTACTTTTATTTTTCCGCATGTGAGCCTGAACAAATAACGTTTGTGTTGTGTTCCCAACACTGCAGCCCCGGAGGGAAGACTGTAACAGCGTGAGGCCCGAGGACTGGAATCCCCGTATTCCCGTGGGCCTTTCTCCTGTGAGCAAATAACTCCACCCACCTCACCTCTCCACCTTTACCAATCTGAATGCACACATTTTCATAGACAAAACACATACGGTGGCTTTTTATCTCCCAACATGCATTACATCGCTATTTCAGTGCATGTCTGTAAAGCAGGATATAAAACAGTATTTGGAACAGAATGTCAATTTATCTCTTACATGCTAGGCTAATATTTGTATCTTGCATTTTTTTTAAATTTAGTTTCTTATGTGTTTTTAGCGTAATCAAAAAGTCTGCGTATTCAGCCATGCACGGCTCTGAAGACATTTAAAAAAAATGGTCTCAAGCATATTAAGGAAGAACACAGTGGCCCAGTCCATACACACAACCAAAGTTGTTTATATAACTAAGTATTATTCAAGTTTTAAAAGAAATGTATGTTAGTAGTATTAGTAATTTCCTTTGTCCTCGCCCTTTTAACCAGGTCAAACTGTCGCCTATGCCCAGTGAGTGGAACGGCAAAACAGAAAGCTGCATCCTCAACATCAACTCCACCATCTACGACGAGATCCAGCAGGAGATGAAGAGGGCCAAAGTTTCCCAGGCCCTGTTCGCTAAGGTGGCCGCGTCCAAGAGCCAGGTACTAAAACACACTCTGAATTAAACAAAAAGGAGAAACATATGATGCATTTCAAAGCCAATCATGTATTGGCTTTGAAATGCATCGATATATTCTGTTGTTTTATGTAAACAGCATCCCAGTCATTTTTCCCTCCAGAAAACGTATAGTAGTTTTCTTTCAGCGTTTAAGGAACAAATAAAAAATGCATTAAAAAAAGGTATTTATTCAACATACAAAATCAAGTCTGTGGAAATCTTATCGCTTTGTCAAACAATAGTTTACTTACTCTGTGAGGAAGCTGTTTTGAAGTTATTTATGTACCATAAATCCCCCAAATGTTTTCTAAACCTGGAAACATAAATTGCTCAAATTATCCACAGACACACGTACATAAACACGAGCACACACACTCATTGATGAACACACACTCATTGATGAACACACACTCATTGATGAACGTCTCGCAAAAATCAAAGCAAGAGAATAAGAATCCTTAAGCATTGAGACAGTCCTTTAACTCTAAAGAAATGCACACACATACACACAGTTTATCACACACATCATCTTAAAATATGTAATACTATATGCATATAACATCATAATATGTATACATTTAAAGGAAAAGCAGTAGAAAATGCATACAACCTGGAGCTGAACTTACCACAGTGCATCACCGCTGTGATTTATCGACATAATGACACATGTCCTCTTTATTGTGGGTTTGGAGTTTAACTGTCGACACTGTTTCAACACCAAACAAACCTGTTTGTATTAGCTCCGCTCAGTAAGGCGGAGGGGCCCCTGTTATCTTCTCACACAATACAAGCTGTGTGTGTTGGAAACAGGGTACAAAAAAGGGAACACACACCACCAATTTACCTCTATTTTAAAATGAAGCACTCAGGAGTTATTATTATAGGTGTCTGTCGGAGGAGTCGAAAAGATTTCCACAATTGTGCTTGATGAAGACGATGGGGGGAGAAATAGATCACCAAGGGCGGAATAATCTCGAAATATCTGCAAAGGCTTTATTTTTTTCTTGCTGATTAGGATGATTATACCCCCAGATAGCTTTGTTTTACCAAATTGCAGTTTGATGCACAAACCACTGTTTTTGTTAAGGAGTTCAAAGACTCTTTGGAGAAAGAGAAAGGGGGAGAGCGAGGCGGTCGCAGTATTAACTCGCACATGTCTCTCTCTCCTCAAATGAGGGTTTGTCTGGGAACAGGTTTCCACCGTGCCTTCTCCACCTCGTTCCCATCTTTCTGTCTTGCCCCTCTACCTCTCTCATTCCCCCGATTTCTGCCTCTCTTTCACGTTCCATTCATGCAGGCGGGTGTGAATGTGAATTGAGCAGCAGATAAGAAGTGTGCTAATTATGCCTGTGAAAGGGGGCCTGGGAGAGCACTTATCTCTGGCTCCATCTCGTAATGGGCGCTCCCCGGGCAGCTGGTCTCCCCCCTTACTACCCAGCCGGCATTGCCACAGCTACCAGCGCAGCGAGACCAGGGCTGCTCCTCCGCTTCAGGACCTCTGAACCCCTAAAATCAGAGACCAGCCCCTAGTTATTAGAGGACATTTCGACAAATATCTTCTTAAGTTCTGCATCTTTAAGAGGGACAAGTTCGTTGTTTTACTTACAGTACTTAGTTTTAGCCAAAGTTAGATGATTCTATAGAGGTTTGACTTCCCAGAAATAAAGTCAGTCAAACAATTTGTGTGGAATTATTAGGAAACTATTTTCATCAAACATTTATTTGAGCTGCAAAAAAATGCCTAACATTAAGTGAATCCACCTTCTCAAATGTGCTGGTGTTTTATATAATTGTAAATTAAATGTTTAGACTTGGTACCTTTTGACATTTTATCAAACAACCAATTAATTGAGAATGAAGAGATAAGGAAAATACGAGTTATTTGCAGTATTTGAACCATACATATTTTCCATATATTTTATCCATACAATTCCACATGTTGTAAAGGTCTCCATAAGGCAAGTTAGCAACTCAATTCTGCTTATTTAGAAAAAAAGCATTGGTGCCATTGCTGGTACTATAGAAATGATGACTTAATGTGACCAGAGCTAGCATACTGGGTGTTGAGTATGTCAGTGTTCATTTTTCATGAGCTTACTATAGTGTGAATCAGTCGGCCAGGAAGAAGGGCAAAATGCATTTTTAAATGACATGTTGTAAACGACAGCTTAAGTCCAGAGAGCTTTGCCGCCTTGCTGGAAGAACATAACAATATCCAAGCCCTGGGTAGAGCGCCATGCCAACAGACACTGCTGGTGCTGAGGTTGGTAGTGCAGTGTGCATGTGGTTGGTGATGAGGATGGAGGATGGGCTGGACTGGCAGGATGCCCATATGGGGTCCAGGGAAATAATCGTGGGGGGAGGGTAGAGAAGAGGCCTCATCACTGAGGCTGGCACCGTCTTGTCAGCTCCGTGTGAAGTTCAACCGCTTCAGTTCAGCTCAGGATTTCCCAGCATGCTTATGCAAGCTCAGTATGAGGTGATCAGTATCTGTTGGTACCATTCCCTTATATTTGTGGGGACATGTTTCTATAGGTATTTAGCTTTTCTGTACAGCTTATTTTCCCAACACAAAGAGAAAAAGCTGAGATGAGATAAGGAAGAGTGATGGCGATCTGAGAGGTGACAAAAAAAGAGATGTGGAGTTGAAGGAGGTCATAGACAGTAGTGCCCCCCTGGGTAGAAAAAGCACTAAACAGGAGTTTACTGATTGGTGCTTGCTGCACTGAGTGTGGGCTTAGGTGTGTGTATACACTGCATATAGATATGGGTTTATGTGCTGGCACATTTGAATGTGTGTGTGTGTTTGGGGGGTTCCTGGAACGCAGCCATCCCGTTCTCTCTTAGGGCTCGTAACCACAGCAGGCCTCTGCCACCCTTAACTGCCCCCCCTCTCTCACATATTCAATGTTGCATTTCAATCACTCTTTTACTGCCACATATTCACAGTGTAGTAACTATGGAACAGTGAATCTAACCCTAAGATATATGACTTTATCAGATTAATGGCCACTATTTCACTTCAAGTCTGGGCATACGTATTTTTTAAGTAATCCATGCAGCAATTCTGATTTATTAGGACAGATATTACATTTAGTCTTTGATAACATCAGAATCATTATTCATGATCCATTCCTCAATGACTCAAACTGATCCAATGCTCCAAGAATGCTCCATCTACATTTAGCTTCAGGAGATGTCAGACTTGGAGAAAACAATTGTGTGTTGCTGGTTCAAATCCAGTGATGAAGTAGCAATATTCGCCAAACGGCCCATTTCATTTGAGCCTGCGGAGCTTTGATCTGGATAGGCTGGAGTTGATGTCAACATTATGAACTGGCTCGGTTGGGCTAGAGCGCTTTCTAGCAAGCTACTATGCTTTGTTTTCATTCATATTAACAGGGGAGGCTTGCTGTGTTGGCGAGCCTAGCAGAGAGGGCGGCTAATGTTCAGTTGAGCGATGGGAGGTTAGCTGAGGGTGGGGTGGGAGCAGGTTGGGGGCTTTCCTCTGACACGACTTTTATGTCTAAACATCTCCGACACTTCCTGAGAGGAATTGCGAATGTGATAGAATCAGAGTCCCTGCTGTCATAAAACAAGCACCCGGGGAGCCCCGCGCTCCACGGGGCTCAAAGCCCTCCGACTCCTCAATGACCAGAAGACTAGAGAACGCCACCAACACCGCCCTCTCTCCCCATCCCTCTTTCTCTCTCTCACTCGCTCATTCTCCCCTGGAAGAGGCTACGCTAATTAGCCAGGCTCTAATGAGACAGAATGGCACTGATCTGGTCCGCCGCTGCGCCACCGGGGGGGCCGGGCAGGGGGGCTGGTGCAGTAGGGGGGAGAGGGTAGAGCGAGGGGGGGGGAGGTTGGTGTATGCCATCTGTCACCCTGCACCCGCCTGGCACGGCAGTCCCTGGAGTGGGGGGGTGGTGATGGTGGGGGAGGGTGGGTGAGGGCCTTGTTGGTCTGGAGAGGTGGGGGAAGTAGGTGAGGGCGGGCGGGGACACTGATATGAAGAGGAAGGGAGGGTGACGGAATAACTGGAACTGTTTCCGTCATGTTTGGAAAATTACTCATTTCCTGTTACGAGTGGAATACGTTTAGTGGTCGTACGTGTTTTAATGGGGACTTTTCTTAGCTTTAATCTCAGATATTTAATACATGACCGACCCAACCAGACACACACACACACACACACACACACACACACACACACACACACACACACACACACACACACACACGCCACTTCTGTCATTCTGCTCCATGCACTGGCTGATTAACTAGAGGGGCAGATGGCTGACCTTTTGGGTGTCTGTTTCTGGATTGTGACAGTTTAGATGTTTGACTGTTACTGAGAAGCCACTTGGGGTCAGCATGTTAGAAGTCACGTTTTGCTTGAAGGCTTGTGTACAAATGGCAATAAATGACATCCTAAGATAGTAAAATTGATATAGTGAAGTTGTGATTACATCAGGAACTTCTGGCGGCTATTTGTTGGAGCAGCATAGTGACATTTTGCTCCACTTTTTACAAGTTTTACTTTCTAGCAATAGCAGGACAGGCATCAAGATGTCTAGTTTGTGTAGACTCACAGTTCTCCACACCTCTCTCTCTCTCTCTCTCTCTCTCTCTCTGAAATTAGGCAGATCAGAGCAAGCATATCACAACCCAGAGGGATCTAAAAGGGCCTTGACTGTTTATTAATTACTTTATTTATTTATCTCCTGTGCCTGCTTGGTTATTAGGTTGCCATGGGAAACAGGCTAGGCCAGATCCTCTCTATTATTAAAGACACAATTTCTTGAACTGGAGACCCAGCTGTCTGAATAATTAATTTAGCGAATGAATTATCTAGCAAACGGTAAGTCTTCCCCTCCCTCTGAAATGAGCCTTTCTCTTATTGTTTAATGGACAGTGGAATTCCCACCAGCCAGTTCTCTCTCCACTGCCTGTTTCATCGAACTGTCCTCCTCTTAG